AGAAAATGGTAAAATATTGTGCCATGCAAGGATGCAGTAGCGGTCGAGCAGCTGATGAACATAAACGCATAGCTCAAGGATTACGAAAAAGAACACTTTTTCAAGTTCCAAAAGGAAATTCCTTTAATAACATTTTCAGTGAGTTTTTTCGATTCAATTTACAAGTTGGTTGTGAGTCTCATGCACAAGAAGTGACTTTAAGAATTATTGATAGGTATCTGGTAATGAGAGGTTTTTTTTTCGAAATATGCAAATCGAAAGAATGAAGAACATCATAAGAAAACTAAAATGTACCGGAAAAATGCTAAATATTATTAGGTATAAATGCCAAGTTGTTGAAATATATACAGAATAAATTAATTTATATTTTATTTATAAAGAAAAAGACTTAATATTTTTTAATATATAGGTGTTTATTAAGAGACAGTGTCAATTCATACACATTTTTTTGTAACGAAAAATTGAATATTAAAACCAATATTTTTATTTAGAGTTATGAGAAAAGAACAATATAAAAATTTGAAAACTTCGAATATGGATTTATGATATTTCGAATATAATTTTAACATTAGATGCATAAAAACATCTCATAAATTATATTTAAATTATTGGATGATATTCACATCGTGAAAATTTTTAACATGTTTGAGTAATAATAAAAGAATATGTAGTAGACACACAATAATAATACTTTGAAATATGTTAAAAATAATTTAACAATTATTCTAAATACTTTATGTCTGTTAGAAAAACATTTTTACTAATTTATAAATAAATTGAAAATATTTCAAATATTGAATAAAATATATTTTATCTGTATTCTTTTTTTTAAGCCCGAATTATCATTATTATAGTATTTATAAAAGTACTTATCCATTCTTAATGAAATTAAACTGTTTTTGCTTTAATTTATTTAAATTTACATTGGCTTTTTTATTATTCATTCGACGTTCGAACATATCGGGAATTTCCCCCTCTCTCTTGGGACTTAGCGAGCGCAGCGCTTTCTGCGCGCCGACTCTTATTTTTTTAAATTTCTGGCACAACTTTTATATACAGAGATTGGGAGTCCAATCTCCAATAGTTACATTTAATAGCATTCTACATTATTGACGATTGCATTATTATTATTTACTGTTTTCCTTTATTGTTATAAATGATTGATTTCGAAACATTTAATTTTAAAGACCTTGCAGTTAACTAGGATTCTGTGTTCAATAATAATGAAAATAATGAGTACATGCAAATATTATTATTATGAACATGTAATTAATTTAGTTAACATGGTTAAAGTTATTATCACTTTACTTACGTGATGTCTGGGAAATTCACGTTTCAATACTTTTAAATAAAATCATTGTGGTCTTCATAATTATGGCAGATTGTCCTCATACAATTGAAGTTAAATTTAGCACTAGAATGATCGAAGTGAATGGTCAGAAAATAAAATTAGAAATATGGGACACCGCAGGACAAGAACGAAGTGCAAATACATGTATATTTTTAATCATTCATGAGCTTTTAGATACATCCATTTATACACCAGTATTGGGTCAAATAATTGACTACTTTCTTCTGGCAAATTCCTGTGCAATGTTATGCTGGATAAATACACCGATTAGATTTGCATATTTACATTTCTTGAAAGCTGTTTGCTTTTAAATTGTTTTATTAACAGTAATACAAATAAGTATGCAGAAGATAATACATTGGAGCAGTGTTTTAAAATATCTACAGACATTGTATTGCGAGTTGCTTGTATAGTTAATAGATTATTAGAAATAAATGTTGTTCATGCAAATAAAAATAAACCAAAAGGTGAGAAAGGCAAAAGAAAAAATGAAAGAAAAAAAGAAAATGATGTTGATGGTATTGAAAATATAATGAATCGAAGAGATACTGATTCGGAGCCTGCTGACAAAAAAAATAAATCGTCATACATTTTCTGTATATATACCAAGATTGATGGTAATGTACGAGTATATTGGTAATGATGATTGTATTAAAAGATACGTGTGCCATCCAATAATTACAAAACTAATTCATGCATTGAACAAATCACTAGACAAAACTGAAAGTGGTTCAAACATGGTACAGTTTGCTCTTCCTCGTCTATTGAGTAATTATTTATTTGACCGAGAAACATATACAAACGAAAGAAGTAGCCCTTTATTTGAAGAACTATGTACATATTATAATATAAAATACAATTTATCTGCTGACGGACCGAAAAATGGTGTTTACGAAGACGATTCATGTTTATATCATAATAGTGTAGCACGATATTCTAATTTATTTGTTTTGCGAGGTTTTTATGAGGATATATTTGCTTGTTTTGGAATTGATTACAATTTTCATGACATTGTAGAGCCAATAATTGAGAAATTGTTTCACCCTAACATTGAATATGTAACATTTGGTTTATATGGTGATAGTGGTAAAAGAACCATGGAAAGGAAAGCTTGGCATCGCAATAATGCCGTACATAGGTCTTAGTTTATTTAAAAATGAAAATTTTATGTTTCTATTATTTTAACTTTTAAACGATATTTATTAATTGTATGATAACTTAGTAACTAGTAATAATAATAATACTCTTAACAATAACGGTCGTTACACTCCTTAAAAAAATATCGTAACTTATATACTTCACATATTTTAATTATTTGGTGGAAACCCACGCATTCTTTTCATGATTTCCTCTATAATGACTATAAACATTATGATGCCTTAATATAAACATCGTCATGATATTGTGATTCAGTTTTTGTTATTTATTTAAAAAAATTTCGTCAATCGAAAATGTAATAAAACATACGATTCAATTTACCCGTTAGTATAAGTGTAATCACGACAATAGCCTTTCTCCTTTTTTTTATTTACATTAGTACAGGGTTTTCCCAGACGGCTTAGAAACATTTAAGAAAGAAATAATTTTTTTTTAAATCCCCATAAAAACCATTCAATGCATGTATTCTGCACTCTGCTCTTTCCTTTCTATCTCATCACTTTTCAAACTTGCCGTACATATGTTAAAAATATTATTTACTACTCATTTATTATTTATAATATTTATCTTCAATGTAACCATAAAAAAACATATAAATTGAACTTTATATGCAGCATTCCTTTAACCCAAATCGCACATGGCTATGCTTTTGTACGATTGAATATTTCTTTTCAACCGTAGGAATATCTTTTATTTACTTACCAGATTTAGCGGCACTACAGCAATAAACAATGAAGACATTGAAGAAATGAAATATAAATGTACTTTGTGAGTGTCATCAATTTTAGTTGATTGTGGATCGCATGAATATCATATAATAGTCTGAGATTATGATATTATCAATAATTATCATCAAAATGTAAAAATAAAAATTAACAATGAAATTATAGCAACAAAGTAAATTGAACAGAAAAGAAAAGAAGATATATGACAATGATGTGAATCTGATGATACTATTCTTTTACTATTTCGTTATAACTATAAAAAGTATCAGTACGAATGCCATTTTTATGAATACGTAAATATTTTATACTCCACGAGGTCATTCAGTAATAAATAATAATGAAATATTTACAATCATTTATTATCTACCACTATTAACATGAAATAAAGGGGGATTAAAAATTGGAGATTTTGAAGGAAAATAATGATTGACGTTTCACCACGAAAAGCCCAATGGATAAAAAATAGTTTAATTGCTTTTGGATCAAATGCTAATAGAGTTTCTGTTAACAACGGTGCTATTATTAAATATAAAATAATGATCTTTGGTATGGGATTACATTTATATTATAACAAGGTGTCGTTTTAATTCATTTTTAATCAATTAAATATAATCTCGGAACTGTGTAAGATGTTCTTATCATATTTTACTACTTTAAGAGAAACTTGACGTTACTTTTTCCAGAAAGAATAAAGTATATAAAGAATTGCTATTACAAATGGATATTATCCCATTCTTCGATAGTTCACCTATGAAGTGCCCTTGAAACGTTCATTTGTGAATCCTGAACCTTGACAACTTGTTCAAAAGATCTTTCCCCAGAGTGGCCTGTATTTTATCTGTAATTTTAGAGAATTAGATATAACTAATTCACTTTTTTACTCTCTTTGTACTTATATATGAAAAAGACAACATTAGACCTCGCAAGTGCATACTTGATTATTTTGTTTATGACCACTATTATGATTAAGAAAAAGAAGCAAAATAAAAAAGTAGAGAATGAGGCCAACAATCACAGAGAAAGAGGAGAGGGTAAAATAGTTTGTAAAGTAACAGAAAGTGCGGTTATGAAATTTACTAATCGGCACAGATCGCTTTTTTAATTATTTCTAGTCGTATTATATTAACCAATATAAATATAATATAAAAGAAAAAACAATAATTTATTTGCATTAATCAAAGATTAAGAGATTTTTAACCATATTATTTATTTATATTATACATATGTACCTATATTTATGTTAAGAAAAAAATAAGCAAATGTTGAATATTTATTATCATTATAAATAATGATAATAAATATTAATCAGAATTGTCTACAGACTTACGTACGTCTGCTCCCTTTCTGCGGCAGCATCTGACGTGTGACGTCGATTTTACGTTGATCTTACGTTAGGAATCGAAAATCCAGCAACATACGTAAGTCTGACGGAAGTCTGTTTCCTAATGACTACAAGGGTATCTACTAATTAAATAATTATAAGATTTTACTCAGATGTCATTCAAAAGAGTAATCAGAAGAAAGCTGTTGCGCAAATCTACAATTTTAGTGTCATAAATAAATCAGCCGGAGGCAAAGATGTAAAGTCCCTTGCTGCTGAAAATTACAGAAAAAAAATAGAATACCATAATTTCATTGTAATAAATGTGGCTTTTATTGTTACAATAAAGTACAATATTAAGATAAATTCAATTTTCAACTAATGTTAAGACTTAAAATTCCAATTGGTAACTTACCAATGAGAATGTAGTACATAATATGAATTATTATCCTAATGATTCCATTATTTGCAATCGTTTTTGAATTGCATTAAGATTTATAACGTTATCATCATCATCTTCGTCATCCGAATCTTCGTCCATTTCATCTTCATCATCAAAACTTGAAGATGAATTTCGATTTGATAAGTCGCTATCACGACGAACTCCATCATGAATGAGAATAAAATTGTAAAGCATACATGATGCACCCACAATTGAAGTTGCCATCGGCACTGACTTTACATCTAAATAAAATAGACGAAATTTACCTTTCAGTCGTCCGAAAGCTCTTTCGATTACTGAACGAATTGAAGCATGTTTAATATTGTAATTAATATTTGCAGCTGATAATAAGCCATTATCCCTAAATGGTGTTAATAAATTTAAAAGAAGTGGATAACCTGAATCCCCTAGGAGATGTTTGTCTGGCGGTAATAAAGGATGTTGGGTATTTGTTAGCCTTCGGTACAAAGATGAATGCCGCAAAATCCTTGCATCGTGTGCTCTACCGGGTGCTCCTATGAGCACATCAATAAATTTTCCAGTATGATCGCATGTTCCTACAAATATGCAAAAATTTAGTATGCTTATTTATGACAAATGTTAAAGCAGAGTAGAAAAATACTACCAACTGACCTTGTAATATTATGGAATGTGTGCCTTTTCGATTATAGTAATCATTCGCATTTCCAGCAGGTTGTTTAATTTCGATATGACATCCATCGACAGCACCAATTACACCAGGAAAACCTCCGGATCGTCTATGAAAAGCCTGAAAAGACACACAATTAAAGATGTATTATTGTAACTTATAGATAATATTGTAACTAAACTACGGATGTATTATTGTAATTAATTTTTAATTAATATTTACATTTTCAATATCCGCCAATTTGTTATTGTCAGGCCAACAAATGTATGTTGGAATTAACCTACATAAAATGCAAAGGATTTCTTTGAACGCATAATATGCAGTACTTTTAGATACACCGAATCTGTCAGCAACAGACCGAAAGCTGTCTGGAGTTGCTAAATCCAAATTGTTATGTAGATTTTTTTATCCAGAGGTATTTCTTCTTCGTCTTCTGCTGTATCATCACCTTCTGTTTGTGACGTATTTCGAAGTGGTAACACATGAGGTCGAATGACCTGTGATAACCGCTAAAAATAAATAAATAAGTTGTAATTAATATAAAATAAATATATAAGCATAAATTGGAGCATAAGTTCTAGAGCTTAGATAGTTACATTGAACTATCAAAACCTTCAAAAATAATGTCTGTCAGTATTATTCTCTTCTTTCATAAACATAAACAATTTTCGTGCAACAAAAAAAAAAGTTTTATTACTTAAGTTTTTATAAAAATAAATCAGTATTTGTAATGAAAACCTCAATTTACAGTTAAGTTTTTCAACTTTTTAATAATTCAGTTTTCAAATTTTTTTCACTTGGATTACGTTATTACGTTAACATTGAGATAAAAATTTTGTAATGAAAACCTCAATTTATATGAATTCAAATATAAATACAATATGAATATAAATTTATAAATAAATTTTAATATAAATCACTAGTCAGCTTTGAGTAAATAAATTGTGACCATTAATGTTGGTAGTAAATGAGTACATCCTTCCCGTTGGATGATATTATTTTTTATGGAAAATTGTATATATGAGTTATATCTTATTTTATCTTACCATTGAAATACGATATCAACGATAATAAATACTGAATTTTTGTACTTAAGGCTAGGCTGAAGTCAGAAAGGCGACTGATTCCCCCTATCCAAATATATGGGTTCGGGAAATTTCTAATTTCTTCGCCAATTTACGATTATTTCTATAAAATTAGGTACCAAATTACAGAAAAATTAATGCCGGACTGACGTAAACAACAATTTTTTGTATATAGTGAATATTTTTATTAAAACAATTAGAAAGAATAATGAAAAAATTATGAATTGACTTACCGCGCTTAAATTTCAAGATGGCGGCCACATCATTCAGATGAAAAATCACTAATTATTTCATTTTTATACGTTTTTCGCCCAAAATTCGTGTTTGCGTCAGTCCTTGCCACCTGTCTGAATGTTAAAAAAATCAATTCATAGTATAAAATTGAATAATTTAGAAATAATTAGAAATCTTGTATTCCAGATGATATTCTCCGGAAAATTAGTTTGAAAAAATTCTGATAGGTGACAGCATTATGCTCGCAGATGACCTCAGTCATTCATATTGAAAAAATGCTCAATCCGTATCCAGAACTGATGGTGCCCTGCATTTTGGCGAGTAAATTTGTGTATGTGTGTGTACGGGTAATATATGTATGTGATGTAAACATAGTGTATCACTTTACAATGCCCTACACTTTGATGACTATTGCAGTTAGGATAAATAAAAATGATGATACTCATTTAACATTAATTAATATAATACCTGAGAATAACTTCAACAAATATTCATCCATTATTATCATTTTTATTAGGTATAAATGTTAATCAAAAAGCTCAATTCCGAGTCGGCGTATCCAAGCATGTAGTGTAAAAACAAATACACATAAACTCAATACCGAGATTATGCTGGCCATGTGGTTAGAGCGTCAGAGGTCTATTTTGCCGGGCAGGGTTCGATCCTAGTCATAATCACTTTTTTTTCTACTTTATTCGTTAGATTAGCATGTAATTATAATATTGACATGCTATAATTAATCTTTTATAACAATTTGATTTTTTTTTCTCTTTATTCATTGAATTTATTGACGCTAAGTCGAAAAATATTTGAACAGAGCCATAAACTTTCTTTTTGTATAAATACATTGATAATAGCCTGTGTTTAACAACTTATACATCTTTACATGTATTAACAATGTTATGTTATTAACAAGTTAATCATATTATTATTAACATTGAAAAGTAGTTTAAACAATCTGTGGCGAGTTTCGGCACTTTCCCGGCAAGTTCTACCCCCACTCTCTGTGCCCAAGCCTGCAGCTTATAATTTTTAAGCGTATTGAAACCATAACAGCTCAGTGGTTACAGCATCGGTCTTTTATTTTGCTAGGCAGAGTTCGATTCCAGTCATGATAAAGTTTTTTTTTCTCTTTTATTTGTTAGATTTGCATGTAATTATAATATTAACATGCCAAAAGTAATTGTTTACAACGATTTGATTTTTTTTTTCTCAATTATTTATGTAATTTATCGACGCCGAGTCGGAAAACATATGAACAGGGTAATAAACACTTTTTTTACTATAGCTATATGAACGTAGCTTTTTTTTAAGCAATTTAGAAATATTTAGAAGTAGTTAAAATAATCCACGGGGATTTCCGGCACTTCGCCGGCAAACTCTATCCCTACCCTTCGTACTCAAGCCTGGATTATACAATTTATAAACATAAACATAATGTCAGAGATGATGTGTTAGCTCTGTGAGTAGAACACCAAGCTTTCATTTTACCGATTAGGGTTCGATCCCAGTCATAACCAATTTTTTTTTTTCCTTTTTTTTTCATTGAAATTTTATATAAATACAATAATTGGTTGTTTATATAAGTTCAAAATCAATTCCTATTGTCTTTTAAAGACAACACTTTCGAAAAAAGAGAATTCATAGTAACTCGTTCCTCACCCTCAGCTTATTTTCAGAAAAACAAGTTGTTCTCCGTAATTAATTGGAAGAATAATTTAATCAAATATATGAATTAATTTATAAGTATATAAAGTCACTTAAGCAAAAAAAAGAAAAAACAATTGCCTATGACTGGGATCGAACCCTGCCCAGCAAAATAAAAGATTGATGCTCTAACCACTGAGCTATTATGGTTTCAATAATAGTGAAGATGCTTGAAAATTATAAGCTGCAGGCTTGGGCACAGAGAGTGGGGGTAGAGCTTGCCGGTGAAGTGTCGGAACTCGCCGCGGATTGTTTAAACTATTTTTTATTGTTAATAAGTTGTTAAAAAAGGCTATTATCAATGTATTTGTACAAAAAAAGGTTAATGACTCTGTTCAAATATTGTCTCATTTGTCATCGATTGATTGAAAAATAATTTTACATAAAAATTGAAATTTAAAACTCTTTTTTGGCATGATAAAATTGCAATTACATGCAATTTGAATTAAAAAAAAAAATTTTCCGCAATTGGAATCGAACACCGTTCGGTAAAATCACTGTCGAACCTTCTGACTACAGAGCCAGCATATTTTCATTTGCTTTGTTTACGTTTGGATATCAAGAGCTTCAGGCTTAGTAACAGAAGGTGGGGAATGTGCTTGCTCGTCAACTGTTCGAACTCGCAGTCTTCTCTAAAAAATAAGACGGAGATAGATAGATATATTCTGTGCTCTGTCTTGCTCGGAACAGATTATTCTAAAATTTGTGAATTTCTTGGTGCCCTAAGGCTCTCTTTTTGTAGTGCATCCCTGAAAATTATCATTTTTCGAACGATTTCATTGTTACCTACTCAATTTCAGTTGATGTCAAGCTTCGGCCTTTTGCCGCACAACACGAGGGCGTAAAGTCAACTCCGGGAAACTTTCTGACTTCAGCCCAGCCTTAAGTGAGACAGAAATGAACATATTACTTCTAGACATAATTGGTGATGAAGTTTGAACTCTATTGAGTTTGATACAATCATTGGATATCCAAAAATAAAATTATAAATGAATTACCACTCTTCCTACGTTAATGATAAGAATAATAATGAATACTTTATCAATATTATTTTTTAACAAGCTTTCTTGTACAATTTATAACTTACTTCTGAATTTAATGTATCCAAACCAATGTTATCTATGCTTCATAATGCAGGATATTTTCCATTTATGCATTCTTTGTTAAATTTATCTAATATAGATAATATTTTTGTTCGATTATATAAAAAAAATGCTCCTTCTTTATTACTGATAACTTTTTTATCAGCTTCGGGATTTTCTGCTATAATAACTGGATGACTTGGTTTTTTTTATGTAATTTCACGTATAATCTTCATTGAAATTACATGGCTATTTTAAATTATCATTTATTATTATCATTAGATTATAAGCCTAAATATACTTATTTATGTAGTAGGAATTACATGACATTACATGAGCCAGAAAGAAGACTTTTCTCTGTATAAGCATTTTGAATTTTTTTTCTACTATACCGACGCAAGATAATTTACCAGTCCTAATTTCCTAAGTTGACTGCTCAACGAAATGATAAACATTAAAAAAAGAAGAATTTTTATAATTTGATTGAATATTAAATGATTGAAAATAAAAAAAACCAATTTTAAAAGATTAAAAGAATAAACCTTATTTTAAAATGATCATTAGATAAAAAATCTGGGCATCATAGAATTTGATTGACAATCAGTAAGATTATACATTTAAATTTAAAAGATTGTAAAAATGCCTTTGACTGACATCTTATTGGGGAAGGATGTCACGCTCGCGTCTATATTCTTCATGGTTCACAATTAGTGAACTGCTTATCACAGACGCCAACGTCTGCCAGACACTGGTACCAACCCAAATAAATTAAAAATTCAAGAACTCGATCATAGCATACATAACCTAAAATTTGTTACGAGGTATACGTACCAAAGGTAACGAAATACTATTTCAATCTGCAATACCGACTGGGCAGATTTTTTTCATATTATCGGTAACTTACTGACTGTATTACCGACCGCCGGTATTGATTTGTTATTTATTTCTTGGCTTAAGGCTGGGCTGAAGTCAGAAAGTTTCCCGGAGTTGACTTTACGCCCTCGCGTTGTGCGGCAAAAGGCCGAAGCTTGACATCAACTGAAATTGAGTAGGTAACAATGAAATCGTTCGAAAAATGATAATTTTCAGGGATGCACTACAAAAAGGGAGCCTTAGGGCACCAAGAAATTTACAAATTTTTGAATAATCTGTTTCGAGCAAGACAGAGCACAGAATATATCTATCTATCTCCGTCTTATTTTTCAGAGAAGACTGCGAGTTCGAACAGTTGACGAGCAAGCACATCCCCCACCCTCTGTTACCAAGCCTGAAGCTTATGATATCTAAACGTAAACAAAGCAAATGAAAATATGTTGGCTCTGTAGTCAGAAGATTCGACATTTATTTTACCGAACGGTGTTCGATTCCAATTGCGGAAAATTTTTTTTTAATTCAAATTGCATGTAATTGCAATTTTATCATGCCGAAAATGAGTTTTAAATTTCAATTTTTATGTAAAATTATTTTTCAATCAATCGATGACAAATGAGACAATATTTGAACAGGGTCATTAACCTTTTTTTGTACAAATACATTGATAATAGCCTTTTTTAACAACTTATTAACAATAAAAAATAGTTTAAACAATCCGCGGCAAGTTCCGACACTTCACCGGCAAGCTCTACCCCTACTCTCTGTGCCCAAGCCTGCAGCTTATAATTTTCAAGCATCTTCACTATTATTGAAACCATAATAGCTCAGTGGTTAGAGCACCAATCTTTTATTTTGCTGGGCAGGGTTCGATCCCAGTCATAGGCAATTGTTTTTTCTTTTTTTTGCTTAAGTGACTTTAATACTCATAAATTAATTCATATATTTGATTAAATTATTCTTCCAATTAATTACGGAAAACAACTTGTTTTTCTGAAAATAAGCTGAGGGTGAGGAACGAGTTACTATGAATTCTCTTTTTTCGAAAGTGTTGTCTTTAAAAGACAATAGGAATTGATTTTGAACTTATATAAACAACCAATTATTGTATTTATATAAAATTTTAATGAAAAAAAAAGGAAAAAAAAAAATTGGCTATGACTGGGATCGAACCCTAATCGGTAAAATGAAAGCTTGGTGTTCTACTCACAGAGCTAACACATCATCTCTGACATTATGTTTATGTTTATGAATTGTATAATGCAGGCTTGAGTACGAAGGGTAGGGATAGAGTTTGCCGGCAAAGTGCCGGAAATCCCCGTGGATTATTTCAACTACTTCTAAATATTTCTAAATTGCTTAAAAAAAAGCTACGTTCATATAGCTATAGTAAAAAAAGTGTTTATAACCCTGTTCATATGTTTTCCGACTCGGCGTCGATAAATTACATAAATAATTGAGAAAAAAAAAATCAAATCGTTGTAAACAATTACTTTTGGCATGTTAATATTATAATTACATGCAAATCTAACAAATAAAAGAGAAAAAAAAAACTTTATCATGACTGGAATCGAACCCTGCCTAGCAAAATAAAAGACCGATGCTGTAACCACTGAGCTGTTATGGTTTCAATACGCTTAAAAATTATAAGCTGCAGGCTTGGGCACAGAGAGTGGGGGTAGAACTTGCCGGGAAAGTGCCGAAACTCGCCACAGATTGTTTAAACTACTTTTCAATGTTAATAATAATATGATTAACTTGTTAATAACATAACATTGTTAATACATGTAAAGATGTATAAGTTGTTAAACACAGGCTATTATCAATGTATTTATACAAAAAGAAAGTTTATGGCTCTGTTCAAATATTTTTCGACTTAGCGTCAATAAATTCAATGAATAAAGAGAAAAAAAAATCAAATTGTTATAAAAGATTAATTATAGCATGTCAATATTATAATTACATGCTAATCTAACGAATAAAGTAGAAAAAAAAAATTGGTTATGACTGGGATCGAACCCTGCCCGGCAAAATAGAACTCTGACGCCCTAACCACATGGCCAGCATAATCTCGATATCGAGTTAATGTATATTTGTTTTTACACTACATGCTTGGATACGCCGACTTGGAATTGGGCTTCCTTATTAACATTTATACCTAATAAAAATGATAATAATGGATGAGTATATGTATTTGAAGTTATTTGCAGGTATTATATTAATTAATGTTAAATGAGTATCATCATTTTTATTTATCCTAACTGCAATAGTCATCAAAGTGTAGGGCATTGTAAAGTGATACACTATGTTTACATCACATACATATATTACCCGTACACACACATACAGAATTTACTCGCCAAAATGCAGGGCACCATCAGTTCTGGATACGGATTGAGCATTTTTTCAATATGGATGACTGAGGTCAGAGAAGAGAGACGTAAATAGAAGTTTATTCCTTATGGGACGATGTGGCCGGAAATTTTGATACGTGTTGTTGCTGTCAGATGGCAGAATGGTCGAGATTCAGAGACGTTTCTGAGCGTAGGGCGGAGCTCAAGTTCTGTCATGTAGTGGTGGGAGACGAACGGTTTCCCAACATCGTTCTCTGAGAAAATTTCTCTTTCATGTTAACAGGAGAGAAAAAAATAAAAAAACGAAGGAGTTGATAGATTTGTTTCGAATTTTTTTTAAATAAAACGAAAAATTAAGACGAAGACAATGATGAGGGTGCGGAGTTTCAATTATCAAAAAGTAATTGAGCACGCGCCAAACATTGACCACTTAACCCGTGGGTTTTTCGATGTAAATAACGCTATTGTAAAAAGGTAGACCCGCATCAGTCATAAAAGCGGATTACCTACATAAAAAAGTACCACTTGTTCGTCTTCAGATGTAAAAATGTTAAAACTAGACTCGTAGTCCAGTCAAATGAGGGAAATGGGATAATTTTGGTTTGCTGCGGCCAAAGTGATGATTAATAGATAACTAGATCGAAAATTTTGCGAGGAACACGATGGTGTAGGTCAAGAATGTTTGGCACGCATAGGGAGAGGGGGGGGGGAATCGCGAAAAGCCGCCTCCCATCGCGAATTTCTCGATTTCTATCATAGATATGAAAAAATGTTTTAAATAAAAGTTGTTCAGAATTTAATTTTAATGAAAAAAATACTGAACACTTTTTTTCATATTTATGATAGATAAAAAGTTATTCGCGACTGAAGCTTCACTAATGACGAAAGCTCCAGTCGCGTCTAAGAAAATTAATAAAAAATACTTAGCGCTATAAATATTACTTTGTGGCAATTTATTTCGAAAAATGAGATATTTAGGTATATTTTCAGAAAAAAAAATTTTTTTTTTATCAATTTTTTCATTACTTTAATGGACAATATATTATTTAAATCGTTCTCATTTTGGTTAAAGGGTTTTAATATTTGGGCCCCCGAGCGCGCTTTTCCTCTTCTGGCGCTAACGGGTGCGACAGAGAGCAATACATATCTCTCTGCTTCACTCGCACTCACACAAAACTTCTGCGCACGCGCCGAGTACAGTAGAGCATAAGTGCGAGTGAAATGATCACTCGAACCGTAAGTGTGACAAAGACACTATACGGCGAGGGAAGAGGGGATGTTTTGGGCTCATGCTGGTTACTTCAAAAGTCTTTCCGAGCTCCAACTTTATCAGCGCGAGAATTTTTCTAAGTTCTACGCGCTTAAAATGTTAGAGAAAATTTTTCAATTATTCAATTTTTCAAAATTTTTCAATTAATTTTCTAAGAGAAAAAAAATTTATATCTCCCACATAATTATATCAATCAATCTTCAAATGTAGAGAAAAAAAAACATGTTCTCAGATATGTCAAGAACATGTATGTACATTTTTTTCTTCTCTTAGAAAATTAATTTTTTGCGTTAAAAAATCGGAAAAAAGTACCTAAAAAAGTATAGCTAGATCGACAGGAAATTTAATTCTCTATCGATCTATATATATGATTATTGGACCTAAAATTGAAAAATTTTCTCTAACATTTTAAGCGCGTAGAACTTAGAAAAATTCTCGCGCTGATAAAGTTGGAGTTTGGAAAGACTTCTGAAGTAACCAGCATGAGCCCAAAACATCCCCTCTTCCCTCACCGTATAGTGTCTTTGTCACACTTACGGTTCGAGTGATCATTTCACTCGCACTTATGCTCTACTGTACTCGGCGCGTGCGCAGAAGTTTTGTGTGAGTGCGAGTGAAGCAGAGAGATATGTATTGCTCTCTGTCGCACCCGTTAGCGCCAGAAGAGGAAAAGCGCGCTCGGGGGCCCAAATATTAAAACCCTTTAACCAAAATGAGAACGATTTAAATAATATATTGTCCATAAAAATAACTCATTTTATAGGTATATTGTTACACATAAACATAATGGTTGGTACAAATACTGATCTAAAGCAGCTTAAAAGATTGGAGACTGGGGAAAACCATGGGATGAACAAAAAAGTTTAAATGAAAAAAACAGCTTAGCCCATGTCTCATAGAAACGTTACAATTATTTTAAAAATTATTTATAGACAAAAAGAGGGTTGATAATATCATTAATTAAAGTTGATTGATTATAAAATCTCTCTATATTACTACTTTCACTTTTATCAAAGTAACTCGATTCAAAAAACTTAGAAAATCGTGATATAATAACACTTAAATGCTGCAATGAATTATTTGTAAAAAATAAATATTAACTAAAAAGTTGATCGACTTATATCAACCCTTTTAATTGAATTTCAAAAATATTCTTTTCTTCAGCATATATAAAGTCGTTGAAGATACGCAAAGAAGTATTTATATATAGGAACAAATATTTTTTAATATCAATTGATTAATATATCAATGAACTAAGACGAAAGCTGTCAATAATGAAAAGTGATTCAAAAACTTACCTTTCGTTTTTAGGAAAGCGATGAAACGAGAGATGCGGCATCCTCGATGACACATTTTCGCATTTGAAAAATGCACATACATTTGTAGCTGGCATTTTTGCGTACACAATGCACAATCACTTATACACTGTATGCACTCTCGAAAAAAATCAAACAAATTTATATACTGATATATAAATTAAAGCAATGAATTCAATCGATAATTTTGAGTTGTAACTTTCCAAGAATTTCGGAAAATCTGAGAATTCAAGTTGGCTCTTTCTGCCGCGAAGCATTTTTTCTATGCGTGCGCATCTTTGGAGAAGAGTAGGCGTGACTGTGCCAAGAACACTGTCGCCACCTGGCTTTGGGGTACAGAAGCTTACATGTACAGTATCGCCGTCTGGCGGTTAGGGTGATAACTTTGGGGTTTGGGGTGATCCCCAAATGGAACACGGCATTGTGATTCTATTTACGTCTCTCTTCTCTGCTGAGGTCATCTGCGAGCATAATGCTGTCACCTATCAGAATTTTTTCAAACTAATTTTCCGGAGAATATCATCTGGAATACAAGATTTCTAATTATTTCTAAATTATTCAATTTTATACTATGAATTGATTTTTTTAACATTCAGACAGGTGGCAAGGACTGACGCAAACACGAATTTTGGGCGAAAAACGTATAAAAATGAAATAATTAGTGATTTTTCATCTGAATGATGTGGCCGCCATCTTGAAATTTAAGCGCGGTAAGTCAATTCATAATTTTTTCATTATTCTTTCTAATTTTTTTAATAAAAATATTCACTATATACAAAAAATTGTTGTTTACGTCAGTCCGGCATTAATTTTTCTGTAATTTGGTACCTAATTTTATAGAAATAATGGTAAATTGGCGAAGAAATTAGAAATTTCCCGATCCCATGTATTTGGATAGGGGGAATCAGTCGCCTTTCTGACTTCAGCCCAGCCTTAACACAGCATTGGACTTCTATACTGGTCTCTCTTCTCTGGCCGAGCCGACCGGGCTTCCGTAATTTGATCTGGTCTCTCTTCTCTAACTCAAGTATTCTTTGACCCAAGTGTATATTCTCCAATTATTTTTTTTTTTTCTATAAACAATTGTATAAATTTTTTATAAATATAAATATGTATATTCCAAACAATTTATTCAAGACATCATTGTGTATGAAATGATTTTCTATTTGTTTTTTAGTAGAATTTAAATATTTCCCCCTTTTCTGTCTGTTTTTAACCAATCACAATAACCTTACGTAGATTTATGTCGACCAATGACAAAACGCCAGCTATGGTTCCGGAGTTTTGACAGTATCCAACGTGGTATAAAGCCGATGGTTAGGCATTATTATTATCATAAATAATTTACCTCCATATATTGTAACAAATTATAAAGTATAAAATAAGTTATTTACTGATTATAGTTTACCAAATTATTATTTTTCTATCAAAATTTTATTTATAGGTAAGAATACTTGTTTTATTTGCTACAAACTATCATAGTAATTTAAATGTCTAACCTCCCACGTAATTCAACGTTTTATTTTCCTCAAATAAAAGTCGAATAGACACTTATCTTTAACTTAAAAGTACTAATGACTTATTTTTCATTACTTACAGTTAGAATATTTTCTATAAATCATCAAAGATGCACCATATAAGTCTATTTTCAATTGTTGTTTTCTTTACTCTAAGTTTTCTATCCTCACAAGCATTAAAAGAAGGAGAATGCGAAGGTATGTAATCAATATTTACCAATTAATTAATAAGAAAAACTATTTATGAATCATTATTAACATCAAGATACGTATGCAAATATTTTTTTAGTCTGTGTGGCAACAGTACAAAAATTTGCAGCTCTTTTGGCTGATGATGTAAAAAAAGATCCTAAAAAAATTGAAACAGAGTTCAAGAAATTCTGTAAAAAAACTAAATCCAAAGAAAACAGATTTGTAAGTACATTAAAAAATAATTGGAGTATTAATAGTAAAAAAAGATTCTAATGAAAAGTTAATAATAATAATTTTTTGGTGATTTTCTAGTGTTACTATCTAGGTGGTTTAGAAGAATCGGCCACTGGAATTCTAGGAGAATTAAGTAAACCATTATCATGGTCTCTCCCTGCAGATAAAATTTGTGAAAAATTGAAAAAAAAAGACGCACAAGTTTGTGAACTCAGATTCGGTAATTATATGTAATTTCTTTGCATCATTACTCCCTTTTTGATGACAAACAATCCATAAAAATAAATCCTTTTATTGTGATTACAATAATAATTGGAAATCAAATATTTTCTTCATCAGTTATATTTGACATATTTTTTAGTAAATACATTTGGATAAAATTTTACAGTAGATTATGATTAGCTTCAGGCTATCATATAATATAATTCGATCAAAGCTTGACATTAATTTAATTTAATTATTTTTCTAACTGTTATCATCATTGTTGTGAAATTCTTTTTGATCTGATTATAACAATTGTTCTAGCTGTGAATGATCATATTTTTGGGGTAACTGTTTTTTAATGTAATGATTCATTTTTGTTTTTTAAATAATTATTTAGATATCTTGAAATTAGAGACAATGAAAAATTTAGAACATTTATTAATATGTATTATTAAACATTCTTATTTACTATAAAATAAGTAGCTGATTATTAAATTTAATGTAATAACTTCTTAATTTGAATCGTTATTTTATTGCTGACTATTGAATTGCTTCAAGAAAATAACGATTGATACAGTTGTACATTTTTCTTTTATTTTTATTTATTCATTAATTTACCTAAAACAAATGTACACATGTTATTGAACGTTTTATTGGACATTTTAGTTGTTTTTATAAAATTTAATTAGAATGAAATTGGGAAAAATGCTGTTGAAAAAAAATTATTGATTGTAAGATCACCAATCTTGTGAAGAATGGCATTTTAAATTTCATTAAAGTTAGTAGTTGGAACAAAACTAGGTTAAAGAACAAAAAAGAAATTGCTACAACCAATTTTATTGGAAATTTTGATTAATAATACTTCGTGTCTCTTTTGTAATTCATTTTGAACCAATCTTTGAAAAATATCTAGGTTCATTACTTTTTATTTAACCCTTGAGAAATATTTTTGCCCATACTCCAACTCATCAATTAAACTTCAATCATGACATCAACAAAATTTTAGTAATTAATTGTCATTATTTACAGATAAACAAATTGATCTTAATAAAGTAGACATAAAGAAACTAAAAGTACGAGATTTGAAGAAAATCCTTAGCGATTGGGATGAAACTTGTGATGGATGTATTGAGAAAACAGACTATATTAAGAGAATTGAAGAACTTAAACCACAATATGCAACACCTAGTTCAAAAACTGAACTCTAAATTGCAATTTCCTAGACTTGTGAATGAATTGTGTTCAAAATTCTATTTAAAAAATTGATTTTTTCACTACTTTTATGATAACAGTTTGATGGTGATAATGAAGCCAGTAATATTTATTTTTTCATTTAATAAAAGAATAATTAAATAAAAAATAATTTTTTTCAATAAAAGTTAAATGGTATAGGTGCAACAACTAAAGGACTGCTAATAGACTCGTTAAAGTGCTTAGAAGTACATAAATTGTGTAAAATACTTGATTTTTACATCAAAAAGATACGAAATAATTGAATTATGAGCTGCATTATTTTTAATGCAACTACAAATTATTGAATTTATGAATCATAAGAGTAATGTAATTTTAAAATTTGTATATCAAATGATTATTACCTTTGTAATCTCAAGAATAAACTTTAGGATTAATTTAATTTGTTAGTCATTTTTATTAGTAATTGTCAACAACACACTCATATTAGATAAATTATAAAATTTGTTCAAAACTTCAATAATTATAAAATATTTAATTATTTGAATATTATTTGTTAATACTTCTAGTTCAGTGATTTTACTCAATTATTGAAAGAAAAATTAAACTTTAGTCAACGAAATTCTGGTAAGAGTAAACGTTATTACTTTCCTATTATTTCGTTCATATTTTAAAACTATTTGTAGATTATATTGCTAGAAAAATGCAACCTTGGTCTTAAACATATCATTTTTTATGACGGAATTAGTTCAGATCGGGATTTATGCTGATAATGAAATAACTGATAGTGTGGATAAAATAGAAACGATTGAAAATAAAATAATACTAGCAACAAAATATTATTCTTCTTTTTTCAAATTCCTAAATGATTCGTATTTATTTTACAGAGATTTTAATCACATTATTTTGGATCAATCGAAATATCGGGAAAAAATTACATTAGTAAAAATAATGTTGGATTAATGTTATTTACTGTTGCGACGTCAATTTTTTGTCGAGAAAAGTTAAATTACGCTATAACTTATTTATTTAAAATCAAAGTATTAAGTGGAAAATTGTCATAATAAATAGGCGAAGCACAAGTTTAAATAGAAGTCAAATTTTTTCTCAAACAGATTTCAATCAATGATTTAGTCTTTGCTTTTATTTTGTTAATTGTTGAAAACATTTTCGGACTTATTTGTCTTCTTATCTTTCTAATGATCGGTAAAACTATTATAAAAATGTAATATCACATGTTTTTGGGAAATCATGGTTTTTAAACTGAAGAAAAATTTTTCGATATTTTTAATTTTTTTATTATTAAAGCTCTTGTGTATGAAAATCAAAGAAAAAATTAAATCAAGCAATTAAATTAATATTAAATTTTTCTTCAACTTTTATTATAGTCACTATTAATTCTTACAATTTGGTAAAGAAATCCATTTCCCATCTACACCACATTTAATAGATCCTTTTATTTTACCTCCAGAACATCTAAAATTCAAAATTTTTCCATATAAATACGAGTTTCCTTCTAACATAACATCTTCTTTCACTTTAGGCTTTCCGCATGATATTTTCGAACACTTTCCTTGAATCTTTGACCATTTACCAGTTGAAAGACATTTAGTATAATTTTTGCCAAAGAATTTGAATCCTGGCTGGCATTTGTAATTAATTTCATGACCAACAGAATAAGAAATATTATAAGCCACTTCTTCAGCATCAAGAAGCTTCGGTGGATGTCCACAGCTGATAAATTGACAAAAACTATCATTAGAGTTTTTTATGGAGCTGTTTAAAATTGATGAACAATCGATAGGAGAGCATGATGGTGGTTGATAATTCCAATGACCGGTGTCCAAGCAAGTTAGAATATTTTCTCCTCTCAGATGAAAACCAGTGTTACATTTAAATACCAACTGATGACCAACTTGGAGAATAGAAACATCATCACGCTCAAATTCATCAACAATATACTCGATATCTCCATTCTCTGGAGCTAGAAGATTCTTACAAGTGATGCCAACGCAGATGGGAGGCTTTCCAGACCAAGTACCATCAGCTTTACATAGTCTATTAGGGTTGCCACGTAGTTCATAACCATCATCGCATGAATACTTCACTGAGTCGTTAAAAGAGAAAGAGGTTCCATCAATTCTACCTCTTGGAAAATATCCAGGAAAACCACAAATAACTTTAACACACTTTGGAGATTCATTTTCCCAATTTCCTGACTTTAAACAACGTCTTTTTATTGGAGAACTAACGGTTTTAGTACCTATCTTCAAATTATACCCAGTCTCACATGAATAAATGATAGAAAAGTTACTAGATTCATTCAAGAAGCCATGAAACAATGGACCCACTGTACCACATCCATTACAGAAATGATTAGGCATGATTTTTACATCTCCATGAATGTTTTTTTGAATATTTAACCATGAGACTAAACTTCCTGAGTATTCTCGGCAAGTGTTTTCAAGATTTTTGATCGAACTTTGATTCAAAATTTCATCCCAGAAATCTAAAAGAGTTAAACGGCCAACAAAAGCTTCAGAAATAGAGAATCCTCCACCCAAATAGTCTTGTTCTTGGCCTACAATGATTTTACCACCCGCTCTAATAGTCTCGTTGACTTTTAAGTTGATTCCAGAGTCTCTGATAGCTCCATTGACATAAATAAACCAAGATCCGATACTATTTTCCCAAGTAACGCAGATAAAATTCCAGGAACCGTCATTTAGGCTGATGTCGGTAACGATTCTATTGCCGTTGATATAAAAGACCAGACCATTATAGTCCATCAAAGTGATTGCATTGTCATACTCTGAGTTTGCGTAAGAGACAATTGTTCCGTAGTTAACAGAATCCAAGGATTGAATCCAAAAACATGTAGTAAAGGAAGTTAAATTGGTCTTAGGGCCTTCTAAACTCACGTAATCAGAGATGGAAGGTCTAGAAAAGTAAAGAAGAACGTTGGATACAAGTTGGACTTGACAATTCGAACCATCAAAAGCATCTAGACATTGGCAGGAATAGTTGTTAAGGCTATTAATGCAAGTTCCACCATTTAAACAGGGTGATTCTAAGCAATGATTGATGGGAATAGAACAGTTTTCGCCTTCGAAGCCATCCGGACATTCGCAGCGATAACTAGAGTAAGTCACATTGGCTTCCTTAATGTTAATACAAATGGAGTTTGGATGGCAAGGAAGCCAATCACAAGGTAAAAGTTGACATCTGCGTCCTAAGTATCCAGGTTTACATAGACATTTCCAATTTCCATCAATAATCACACATGTTGAACCTTCTTCGCATACTCCAAAGCAAATATCTAAGGCTTTATCACAATATTCTCCAACGAAACCTTCTGAACAATGGCAATAAAAGTCATTGTCATCACTAATGCATGTTCCGTTATTACAAGGACTTGAAAGACATTCATCAATGAAATCTTCACAATAAAGACCAGTGAATCTTGGAAGGCATGAACAAGAAAATCTTAATGATGAAGAATCTTGATAACAAGATCCACCATTTGCGCAAGGTAATGAATTACAAGGGTTTTTAAAAAATTCACAACGAGATCCGATGAATTCCGAATCACAATCACAAGAAAAACCAGCGGATTCAATGGTGCATCTACCACCATTAAGGCAAGCATTTGGAGGACATAGTTCTTGATAGTAACAATCACTTAAGGTGGTACTGCCTCTATCAGAAGTAGTGGAATTACCAGGGCAAGGAAGACACTGCCGCTCTCCAGCGAAAGGTTGATAAAAACCAACTTCGCAAGCGTAGCAAGGCATCAATGATATTTTTTGATCAATGTGATACCTTCTTTTGGAGTAAAACCCAGCTTTGCAGATGAGAATGCAATCACTAGAACTTGTTGAGTGCATTTTCTTGGTAGAAAAACCCTGAGGGCAGCTTTTACATGCTCTAAATCCTGGAGAATCTTGATATTCACCAAAAGCACAGGGAGAGCATTGATGAATGCTGAGATTAGCAAAGGTTCCTGGTGGACAGACGATGCATTTGTCTTTCTTAAAGACTTTTCCATGATCACATATGCCTTGGACTTGTGAGAAAAAGGTACGAATGTTCAGAGCAAGCTTTCCAAGCTCTTTGTGAGTTTTTTCATCGAATAAATCAAGTTTTCCTGCTTTGGTCAAGCTCTGAATCTCTTCTCGGAGCCTTTGAATTCCATTTTGAGAATCATTTTCATATTTAGCTATAAGTTTTCCAATTATTTCAAATTTTATCTCCATTTTTTCCTTTCTCCTGCGCTTTCTTCGTTTTTCAAACCATTCTTTATGCTCTAATTTTCGTTTTCTTCTTTTTTTATTATTCTCTCGACACAAAGAGTCCACCAGTGGTAGCTGGCACTCAATTCCGTTATCCATACAAATTTCTTTGAAGTTTTTCGATATACTTGAAGAAAATAAGTTTGTCAGTTGTTCTAGAGATAATGGATCATCACATACAAGTTCGGTCGAGTCTAAGATTATGTTGCCTTCGATTTTCAGAGAGTTTGGGAGATCAATGAGAGCGCAATCTGGTAGAGAAGACATGTTCCAATTACTTAAACCAGAAATACAACTTAGCGTGAGGTTGCTATCAATGTTTTCTTGGTCTTGGAGTAGAAATGCGTAACCTTTGTCGCAAGTAAAAATACACTGGACATCTCCAGATGATTCCTGGCAACTTTTATGTCCATGAGTGACCACTGGGATGTTTTTACAAGCATCTTCGACAGTGATATTTATCATACAACTTGCTGAATTATTACTTTTATCTGTCACATGATAAACAACTTGAGTAGTTCCAATAGGAAAAAATGATCCTTGATGATGACTCCTAGTTACATTTAACTTCTTTCCAGAATTGTCATGAAAAATAGGGTCTTCCCAGGTGACATTAAAAGCACCTACTGCCTTTGCTGTTAAAAAAGTTGGTGGATTAAGACAATTGCTGATCATTGGAGCTTCTGTGTCAACAGTTTTGATTGTAAATCTGCACCTCGCCCGATTTCCAGCGATGTCTTCGGCAATGTAGGTGATCAGGTGCATTCCAATCTTTGATTTCCAAGGAAACATGATGTGTGGTTTGCTCCAAACCTGGATACCTTCATCAGAATTGTCTGAAACTGAAGGAATAGACCAAGTGGGTAGAGAATAAGACTTCTCAGGTATTGTGGACCAGGTTGCATTATCAGGGCAGATGATTTGCGGTGGAGTATCATCAACACAACGACTTGTACGCTTTCTCTGACTCCAAAGACCTCTAGATCCAGTACATTTCCGGATAGAAGGGCCTTTCAGACGGAAACCAGGATTGCATTTGATGGTACAGGTAAATCCGAAGGTTAGTTTCTTAGCACTCAAGCACTCTTCAGGGCTAATCACACCATTGGCGATTTTAGGAAGTGGATCACATTTGATTTGCTTGCATGAAACCTGAAGGCCGTCCCATCTAGAGACCGGTAAACAGTTCCTAACTTTAGATCCAAGAAGTTGAAAACCTGAATTACACTTAAACTGACACTGCGTGTCAATTGGCAACACAGACGACTTTTTAAAGTTCAAAATCTTCAGCTGATTGTATTCATTATTGATCTGACAATGCACTAGACCATGAACCGGTGACACAGGTGCTGGGCAAGTTTTCAACAAACATTGAGGCTCAATTCCTGACCAAGTTCCATTTCCCAAACAAAGCCTGATGCTGTCACCAGTAAGTTTGAACCCAATACGACATCGCAGTCCGCAAGCAGCATTAAAAACATTACTGCAAACTTTACCTTTTACGAAATATCCGTTTTCAGGTACTTGAAGTTTCGGACAGGTGATAGCATGACAATTCGTGCCGTTTCCAATGAACCCAGAAGCACAGATGCAGTCTTTGAACGAAGTTGCAGGAATTCTAAGGGTTACGTGATTGGAGCTTGGACATGGATGACAAGAAGAGTTTAAATCTGATGTGAATGATGAATTCCCGTAGGTTCCATTCGGACAGGGATGACAAAAACCTTTTAAACCTGAGCCAAAATATCCTTGTTGGCATATGCAAGTATAGTGACCGCTAGATGTTCCACAGTAGCATCCAGCAAGATCATCACAGCACTGAGATGATGATTGGGTGGATGAATTACAAAGAATATTACAAGATTGAGGGGAATCCATGGGAGAATATTTACCTGGTTGGAGATCTGTAGAGATAAATTAATTAAAAATAAACCCAGTGTGTTAGTTTGCTAATAAAAAAAATCATACCTCGATGAAGTGCACGTCGTGCCATGGCTTCAAACTCTCTAAAACTATCTAGAAAATAACTGTGAAAGTGTCCCGGGTCACTGGCAATTTCACACAACTCTTGAACATTGCCAGTCCGAATGCCAAAGGTTAAAATAACTGCACCAAGATCCTTGAGCTTCTGAGCAATAGGTCTAGGATCACCACCATTGCTAAAACCATCAGTGATAAGAAAAATAACTTTACGAGCATCAGTTCGACTTGTTCGTAGAATTGAAAATGCTTCTAGTAGAGCTCCTCGTGTGTAAGTACCTCCACCAGTCCATTTAATATTTTTCAAACCATCATTCAGAAGGTTACACTTGTTAGAAATGATAGCAGTATTGGTAATCTGATCAACAACTCGGAAAATCATGCCTTTACCTGCAAAAGTTATTAACGATACTCTAGTGGCTGATGGTTCAATATTCAGGTCTGATAGAAGTTTGCGCACAAAATTAATTTCATTGTTAAAGTTGTCTAGACCTACTGATGATGATGAATCCACCAGAAAAATGATTTCTACCTGGAAAACAATTGCTGTAATAACTAAAAAAAAAACCTTAGGTTGATAGAAAGTTAAAAAATAAACTCACCTGGTCTCCGTAATTACGAAATTGATCAACCTGAGCTTTTAAAACACTTGCTAAGGCTTCAATTTTGCTTGAAGACTTGGATAAATTACCAGTGAAGTTGACAAAATCATTTTTAATGCTTGGAAAACTGTCAATTTGGCATTTAGAAGTAAAACTATCATTCTTTATCTCAAGTCTGACTTCATTTCCGGCAGATTGTGTATCATCTGACGGCCTAATGATGCCAAAATGTGAGAAACAAATAAAAATAAGCACGAAAGTAGCAGACGTCATTACCAAACAAAAAAATATCAAATCATATGTTCTTCATTATTTCAAGGTTGACAAATGTTCTTTAAGAATGGGTTTAACCCGAACACAGCTTGAATCTCAAACTGACGAAGGGAACAGAGAAAAGTGGAGGGGAAGTCAAAGAGAAGTGGAGATATAACAGATGTTCTTTGTACTCTAATGCATTATTTTTTTTCTCATCAGTTTTTGTACTCCAGTCTCCAGTTGATCATTATGCGTCCACCAGTTCTGACGTTTTTTTTGTTGCTCTCTATCATCACATTTACATTGAATACCCAAGCACTTCCTCATCTCATATCACATCGGAACAAAAAGGAAACTCTAGATGATGATCAATGCATTCCAGTTGATTTTACCGATGGTCAAGTAGGACTTGTTAATGTCATAGCATTTCTTGATTCTTCCTGGCCATTCAGTTACAAGCAAGCTGATATGTAAATATTTTTTTTTTTATCTTATCACTATTTTTATATTTAGTAATTAACTTTTATCATTACAAAAAGGTTGAAGATACTGAAAGAGCGATTGGAGCATTCAGGAATACCGGAAGTGTTGTTTTTCGCTGTTATTAATGACTTCTCAACCATTGACGATCTTCAGGATAAATTGGAAGAGGAGACTTGGATGAATGTAGCACCAGAAGAAGTATTTGAGATACAAAACATCCTTGGAAACATGTCGAAATCAAATGACGATACTGTAGAGCTGCTAAAAGAGATCATTTCTCCGGATATTTTCATCATTGAAGACAATGAAAATCTTGGAATCTCTAGAAATCTCAATGGATCCCGTGACCAAGTGTTAGTGATGGATAGATGTGGCAAGATGACCTATCAAATCATCGTTCCCTGGAGTATTCTTCACTTTCCATATGTCAAAGCAGCAATTTTATCAACCTACAAAGATGATCCCTGTGGTCCTTGTGATGCTTACGCAACTGTCATTGATTTTAATCAACTCAGCAACATTACATCTACCAACATTACATCTAGTGAAGAACAACTAGAAGAGATGATGGTGTCAGAAAGTGACTTAGAACTACATGAAAACATTCAACTTGAACATTCTGGAGACTTTGCATCAATGTTTGAAGTTCAATCAACAGCTATGAACCTTGAGGAAGCTAATAGTAATCGCCCTGATGGTCTAAACGACCTGGAAAATGGTGTTCCAAGTCTGAGAATTATTATGCATGCACCACACTATCATATCAATGAAGATGCAGCAAAAAAACATGAATATTTGGTGTTAGAATGGTCTAAGCCTAACTATCATGGACATCTAGACAGCTCAGATGCTTATACGTATGATAAAAGCTCTCGTAGAAGATCTGGGATGCTGATAGACAGCATTTTTTATGAAAAAAATGAAAGTCCAGGCTTTTATGGTGAAGTTGCTGATTACTGGAAGGAAAATAGTCTAGAAAAAAACCCGGAAGAAAATAATAACGATGCTTACGTTAATTCGTCATCAAGGCCTTCAGGTTACAATGAAGAATTACACAATGTTAATGATTTAGGCATCAAAAACTCTATTGATCCACTGATGAATGGTGAATTTGTGACCCAGGAAGGAGAGGAAGAGTCAGGAATAGTCACTGAAAAAAATGATGGTGATGAGGAAGACATAAAAAATAAATTAATTGCCCATTACAGTAAATTATTACCTTGGATTTATTATGTATTGAACGATTGACATCTTATAAATAAAATATATCATAAAATACATTTATAAGGTTATTTATTAAGTTTCAATCCAAGTCTAATCACGATGATGATGAAATAAAGATTTTTCAGCATGGCAACAATTTTTGGGAAATATCATTTGGGTTACTAAAAATAATTAGTAGTTATAAAAACAGTACTTCTACCGCGGGAAAGCGATGGAATCATGAAGATACTGCTCTTAAAGCAAGTTTTTTAGGATTATTTCGTAAACTATACAGAGATATAAAACAAGTTTTGAATAAAAATTTAAGATTTTTTGATTTTACATAAAAAAGTTCCTAAGGCTTACTCTCCTACTTATTATAGTTTAGCTGCAGATAAATAAAAAGTTTCAACTTGTTGTATCTTTATCATTATTTTACAGTCAAACTGTGAGGAATACAAGTCACAGTGTGATAGCTTTGTTTTATACAGAATTGTAGCTGCTACAACTTTTATTCGAAATTTTTTTTTCCATACTCTATATAATTTTTAAGAAAATCTCAAAAAACTTTTCTCTGAAATAGCTTTTCATCGATTTCTAATCATGCTGAAAAATCATAATTTCGCGAATTGAGTGACTAAATAATTCTCTTTCTATTATTTACACTCAATCACGTGAATCATCAGAATCAGTGCTAGCACAACTGCTAGAATTACTCTTATTGTTAGTGCTTTTTATAACATCTTCAGAACTAGTACTAACATCACTACTAGAATCACTATCATTACTTGTTAAACTAGATTCTGAGCTTGTGCTAGAGCAGCAACTCTTACAATTACTCTTATCACAGCAGCTACTGCTACTACTGCTACTATCATCATCGCTAGAAGTCGATTCATCATCACTATCTCTATTAGTAATAACCAATTTATTCATTTTATCAACGACTCTATTAAGGCAGAGCTTCGGACCAGTGGGAGCTTCAATATTAACAACACAAGGTAATTTTTCAACTTTCTCTTCTTCCAAAACTGACCAAGCAGCAGCTTCCAACTCTACTAAGTCAAGACCCACATCTTTTTTCTCAATTTTAACAGCCTCTAGTTCACCAAGAATCTCTTTTATCGTTGCTTCTGGTAATCTCTGGACCCAAATAAGATAATCTCTGATGTATAATTGGTTTAAAACATATCTTGGGTCATAAGAGTTATTAAATAGCCCATGAATTTCACATAAACTTTTTAAAATGGACTTTTTTCCAAGAGCTAAGATTTTATTTACATCATCTAGGACCTTGATGGATAGCTCCCAGTATCTGTAGAGTGGAAAGCAGAGAGATCTACGGATACAAGATTTCACAACATCTTCAAGAAAAATGAAATAATCAAACCAAGATAGAGTGGAGCTGATTTTGTTGATATCCCAGCTGCTTTCTGATGTATTTTCACCCATTGTTACTCGATGATTATAGCAATAGCTAAATAAAATGTCTACCAAACTTAAAAGAGCTATTCTGGACTCTTCGTTGGTTAATAAAAATTCTTTATTAGGTAATTCTTTTAGAATATCTTGTTCGGTGGTTGAAAATTCTAGGCTTTCAGGGTTTGTTGTGTAGAATGAAGGCTGGAAGTCAATGATCCGTTTGATGGAGTCTTCTGGTTGAATTAAATCAGCAGTGTAGTGGTCATCACTAAAATGGTATTTTTCGTTTACTTCGCGGAGACCTCGGCGATTGGTCATTGGAGTCGAGTCGGGAAATGGAAGGTCTACGACGTCTTTTAGCCATCCTTGCTGAAAAATACATTTATTTTTAGGAACATTGAAAAAAGATTGGTTATATGATTAATTTAAAATATTTGAAACTAATTAAAAATTGGATAGTACATTTCAAAAATCAGGTAACAAATGCAATAACGTACTTCAAATGATTCCAAAGCTCCTACAATCTTGTTAGCAAACCCATATCTTGGTCCTTCCAATAAATTTACGATCGGATTATTATTCAAGTTTGTTTGAGGATAAAACCACTCATTTCCATTCGTAGTGTCATTATCAACCAAAGAATTCTCATTAGTCACTGCTGGATTACCAATCACCTCAATAGTAGAAACGAAATTTTTCTTTTGCTTTGGTGGTGCCAAGAGTGTTGTTATCATATCTAAATTATCAAAATGTTCACCAGGATTGACTTTAGAAAATTTCAGTGTAAATTGTCCTGAATTACAGTCATAAGATCCTGAGGATTGGTCATTCTCTATTATTTCTCCAGGAAGTTTAAGTCTAAAAATAAGTTTAAAATATTGTAATTACTAAAAAAAAATTATTAATTACTAAACTACATTAAATTACCTTAGGTAGTAAGGACTGGAGAAAAATCTAACGTCTGTCCCTTCAACATAAACTTCTGTGTCCTTAATATTGGCATAAGGTGCGTGCACTTTGACAATTAATTCATTGTCAGTCTGTAATAACTCGAATCTTGGAGTCAACATTTTTTTTAAATATTAATATACAAAAAACTTGAGGTTCGATAAAAATTAATGAAGCATATTTGACATCAATTCGTAACGTTTTTGCACTTCTTAAGCAGCTCGTTATAAATAAACTTTACAAGTTATTTTAGAACACTTTGGGATATTTCGATCGCTATTTATTTAATAATTTAGTAAAAAATTTTATGGAATTAATGGATTTCAAAGAAAGGACGATGGGAGGAGAACAATTTTGATAAAAAATTATAAAACTTAAACTATTATGCAAATGAAAAACAACACATGAATAATAGTTAGGGATGGGCGATATTTATCGATGTATCGAAATATCGATAAATTTTTTCTAATATCGAGTCTTTTTATTCGATATTTTTCATAGACGATACATCGATAGTCGATATTTTTTCTCGCAATATCGACCATGTAGAGACCTCTCGTGGTATTTTAAATAACTAACCAAAAGCCATTAGCAGTCACATGTTCAATATCAGGTCTCACGCGTTTATTAATTATTTATTAATTAATTTATAATTAAACAAAGTGAAAAACCATCATGTTCAGTATAGATGAAGATGATAAAGGGTTAGAAACTCTATATGAAGAAGATCCACGAAGATTCATGATTGATTGAAAAATGTAAACTAAATGTTATTTCTGACGAGGGTTCTGCAAATAATATCAAAAAGATTAAAAACAACAAAAATTGAAAAAGTTAGGTTATGAAGGATTATTGTAAGTGATGTATAAATATAACAATAATTTTACATAGTAAATCTACAGATATAATCCAATAATAAAACTTATGAATAGAATTCAAGTACATTACATTATTATAACATGGAAAAAATAGAAACTGTTTTTGTAAAATTATTATAATTTTAAGTAATTCAACTAAATTTTGTAAAATTATTATGTTAATAAAAATGGGTAAAAAATATTTGTGTGTTTTGACTAAATCATATTTTAAAATAAGATGATGAACCGCATTCATTAAGATCGACTGATGAATTAGAGGCACCTCTATAGACAAAAATGTTCAAGATAATTCATTAGAATATTTTGTCAATTTCCTAGAATTAATTAATAGGCATTCAATAAATTATTAATTAGTATCAAAGATTCGACAATCAATAATTTATCGCTGAGCGCTAAATTACGAGTTAGACTTTTAATAGGCCAAGTCTAAGTGCAGCAGCTTCACGTATTTAAAAGTACAACAGTAATTGTTGTAATTATTATAAGATTACTTTTCATCTGTTTATTAATTACTGAATATTTAATCATTAAGTTACTTCATCAGTAATGCTCACTAATTTAAATTTACCAATATCAATGGGTATAACAATAACTTTTTTATTATTAATATGATTATTTATATTTTGAAATTTTTAAATTTAATAAGAACAAAATTTTAGCATGAGTACTCCATTTACTTAATTTAAGTATATAATATACTTGCAGTAAAGAATTGATATACTTGATTCAAGTAACAAGTATTTTCTTATTAATAAAAAAGAATTCATAATATGAGAAAATGGTTTTTGAAGTGTAAAACAGCATTATACTCAGCATAAGTACGCTTCATACGGGATCTCCCCGTATAACATACACTTGAGGAAAGTAAGGAAGATCGTCAGTGTAAGAAAACTATATTATCAACTGAAGTAAACTTTGTAATCTTCTTTTATTATCTACCTACTTGAGATAAACAAAATATTTACAAAAATGCAGTAATCGCTATTTTTGGTATAAATTAAGGCTGGGCTGAAGTCAGAAAGTTTCCCGGAGTTGACTTTACGCCCTCACGTTGTGCGGCGAAAAGCCGAAGCTCGATATCAATTGAAATTGAGTAGGTAACAGAGAAATCGTTCGAAAAATGATAATTTTCAGGGATGCACTACAAAAAGGGAGCCTTAGGGTACCAAGAAATTTACAAATTTTTGAATAATCTGTTCCGAGCAAGACAGAGCACAAAATATATCTATCTATCTCCGTCTTATTTTTCAGAGAAGACTGCGAGTTCGAACAGTTGACGAGCAAGCACATTCCCCACCCTCTGTTACTAAGCCTGAAGCTTACGATATCTAAACGTAAACAAAGCAAATGAAAATATGCTAGCTCTATAGTCAGAAGGTTCGCCAGTTATTTTACCGAACGATGTTCGATTCCAATTGCGGCAAAATTTTTTTTTATTTAAATTGCATGTAATTGCAATTTTATCATGCCAAAAATGAGTTTTAAATTTCAATTTTTATGTAAAATTTTTTTTCAATTAATCAATGACAAATGAGAAAATATTTGAACAGGGCCATTAACCTTTTTTTGTACAAATACATTGATAATAGCCTTTTTTAACAACTTATTAATAATAAAAAATTGTTTAAACAATCCGCGGCGAGTTCCGATACTTCGCCGGCAAGCTCGACCCCCACTTTCTGTGCCCAAGCCTGTAGCTTATAATTTTCAAGCATCGTTTACTATAATTGGAACTATAATAGCTCAGTGGTTAGAGCCCCGACCTTTTATTTTGCTGGGCAGGGTTCGATCCCAGTCATAGGCAATTTTTTTTTCTGTTTCTTGTTCAAGTGACTTTATATACTTATAAATCAATTCATATATTTTATTACATTATTCTTCCAATTAATTACGAAAAAAAACTTGTTTTTCTGAAAATAAGCTGAGGGTGAGGAACGAGTTACTATGAATTCTCTTCTTTAGAAAATGTTGTCTTTAAAAGACACTAGGAATTGATTTTGAACTTATACAAACAACCAATTATTGTATTTATATAAAATTTTAATGAAAAAAAAAAATTGGCTATAACTGGGATCGAACCCTAATCGGTAAAATGAAAGCTTGGTGTTCTACCTACAGAGCTAACATATTATCTCTGACATCATGTTTATGTTTATAAATTGTATAATGCAGGCTTGAGTACGAAAGGTGGGGATAGAGCTTGCCGGCGAAGTGCCGGAAATCCCCGGGGATTGTTTCAACTACTTCTAAAAATTTCTAAATTGCTTAAAAAAAAGCTACGTTTATATAGCTATAGTAAAAAAAGTGTTTATAACCCTGTTCATGTTTTCCGACTCGGCGTCGATAAATTACATAAATAATTGAGAAAAAAAAATCAAATCGTTGGTAAGGATTCATTTTAGCATGTTAATATTATAATTACATGCAAATCTAACAAATGAAAAAGAAAAAAAAAACTTTACCATGACTGGAATCGAACCCTGCCCATCAAAATGAAAGACCGATGCGCTAACCACCGAGCTATTATGATTACAAAACATTTATATATGCTCAAAAATTATAAGCTGCAGGCTTGGGCATAGAGAGTGGGGGTAGAGCTTGTCAGCGAAATGCCGGAACTCGCCACGGATTGTTTAAACTACTTTTCAATGTTGATAATAATATGATTAACTTGTTAATAACATAACATTGTTAATACATGTAAAGATGTATAAGTTGTTAAACACAGGCTATTATCAATGTATTTATACAAAAAGAAAGTTTATGGCTCTGTTCAAATATTTTTCGACTTAGCGTCAATAAATTCAATGAATAAAGAGAAAAAAAAATCAAATTGTTATAAAAGATTAATTATAGCATGTCAATATTATAATTACAGCTAATCTAACGAATAAAGTAGAAAAAAAAATTGGTTATGACTGGGATCGAACCCTGCCCGGCAAAATAGAACTCTGACGCCCTAACCACATGGCCAGCATAATCTCGATATTGAGTTAATGTGCATTTGTTTTTACACTACATGCTTGGATACGCCGACTTGGAATTGAGCTTCCTTATTAACATTTATACCTAATAAAAATGATAATAATGGATGAATATATGTATTTGAAGTTATTTGCAGGTATTATATTAATTAATGTTAAATGAGTATCATCATTTTCATTTATTCTAACTGCAATAGTCATCAAAGTGTAGGGCATTGTAAAGTGATACACTATGTTTACATCACATACATATATAACCCGTACACACACATGCAGAATTTACTCGCCAAAATGCAGGGCACCATCAGTTCTGGATACGGATTGAGCATTTTTTCAATATGGATGACTGAGGTCATCTGCGAGCATAATGCTGTCACCTATCAGAATTTTTTCAAACTAATTTTCCGGAGAATATCATCTGGAATACAAGATTTCTAATTATTTCTAAATTATTCAATTTTATACTATGAATTGATTTTTTTAACATTCAGACAGGTGGCAAGGACTGACGCAAACACGAATTTTGGGCGAAAAACGTATAAAAATAGAATAATTAGTGATTTTTCATCTGAATGATGTGGCCGCCATCTTGAAATTTAAGCGCGGCAAGTCAATTCATAATTTTTTCATTATTCTTTCTAATTTTTTTAATAAAAATATTCACTATATACAAAAAATTGTTGTTTACGTCAGTCCGGCATTAATTCTTCTGTAATTTGGTACCTAATTTTATAGAAATAATGGTAAATTGGCGAAGAAATTAGAAATTTCCCGATCCCATGTATTTGGATAGGGGGAATCAGTCGCCTTTCTGACTTCAGCCCAGCCTTAAATATTAACAGCATCTTAATAATTCATTTAACTTATAATTACCTGTTTACACGAATTGCACAATAACTTTGCATTACTTTTTTATAACAAATTTTAGGTTATGTTTGTTATGATCGGGTTCTTTAATTTTTAATTTATTTAGGTTGGTACCAATGTCTGGCAGAAGTTGGCAGCTGTGATCAGCAATTTGCTAATTGAACTCGGGCCTTACACTGACAGAAAAAATGTGATAGCTAGAAAGTATACTAGCGGCAAACACAAAATATACTCAATTTGAGTATAATGATTTTTTGATGCAAGTACATTTTATATCAAAATGTGTATTATATCATTATATCAAAATTTTTATGAATTTCTTTATTTTGTGGGGTGGCTTGAGTCAAGGTCAAAGAGGTTTAGACTCATTGAGGATGAGAGGCTATGAATACATTAACAAACGCAAAATGTCATATTTCTGTGTCCTTAGGATAATTGTATAGTCCAATCAAATGAGGGAAATGAGATAATTTTGGTTTGCTGCGGCCAAATTAATGATTTATAGATGACTGGATCGGAAATTTTGCGAGAAACACAATGGTGTAGGTTAAAATTGTTTGGCACACATAGGGGGGGAGTAAATCGCGAAAAACCGCCCCCCCTCGCGAATTTCTCGATTTCTATGATAGATATGAAAAAATGTTTTAAATAAAAGTTGTTCAGAATGTAATTTTAATAAAAAAAAAGCACTGAACATA